TTGCCTACTACTTCTTAATAATTTAGCTACTACCTATATATTAATATCTATCTAATTAATTACTTATAATACCTCCTCTATAATTATAATCCTTTCTTTTTATAATTTAGTCTTTTTAGCCCTTTAATATTAGCTTAATATCCTATTTACTTCTTTAAGATTCTTTAACCTAGCCTTTACTAAGGCTAGCTAATATAAAGCTGCCTTTATTACTTTAGTATTAGATTTTAAAGCTTTAATAATTAACTTTAGAGAGCTACTTTTATACCTTTTAATTTGCCTTTTAAGGTATTTAAACTAAGATTAGGCCTTAATTACTATTATTAGGGTTTTTAAAGTCTAAGGGGTAAAAGGTTTAGCTGCCTCTTTAAGAGGCATTAGTATTTATAGCTATATATTAAGCTTTAAGATTATATTTTCTAAGTTAAAAGCAATAAGTTTAATACCTTTAAAACCTCCTTAGATATTTCTTTTAGTAAAAGTAGCTTTAAAAGTAATATATAATTTATTAAAGAACTTAGTCTTTAAAATATAAGTTATAAAATATCTAATTAAATACTTTATTTCTTAACTATAAGCCTATTTTAATATAATAAAGTACCTAATATTAAGAGGCTAAAGTAAATAAGATATATAAGCTAGTATATAAAGTATAATAATCTTATTCTCCTTATAATATTATAATAGTTAAAGTCTAATTATATTAAACTAAGCCGTGCTGGGTTTATTATTAGCAGATTATATAAGGTATATAATTAAGCTTATTAAAGTATTATATCTCTTAATAATAGGTTTAATATATATTAAGCTTAATTAATATAAAGAAGTTTTATTAATAGCTAATAAGCTAAGATCTATAAAAATATAAATAAATATAATTTATATATTAAAGTAATCTTTAGGTAATTATAATTAGGATTATAATCCTAAAGAAGGGATTATAATTTAGTTTATAATCCTCTATAAATAATTATAATTAAGAGTATAATTATTTTAAATCTTTTAATAATAGGCTAGAAAAAGTAAGATATATATAATATAACTATAAGGTTATAATATAATATTTCCCCTCTATTAAATCTTATCCCTAAGACCTATATATTACCTATTAGGCTAATCTTATCCTAATAGGTTATAACCTAAACTTATATTAATTTTCCTAAGATACTAATATAATATTAGGTTATATAATAAAATATTTATCTAGGAAATCTAAGTAACTAATTATCTTATAAAAGGTAATTAAAACTTTACTTAAGTTTAATAATAAGATATCTAAGAAAAGAGATATAACTAAGGATTATATTTTACTTTATTATTTTATAACTAAGAATAATCTTCCTGCTATAATACTATATATATACTATTTTAAGAATAAGAAGGAGTATTATTTTAATAATATTAAGAAATGTGCACAGGGAAGGAGGAAGACATCAAAGATATAGAAGTACGGCAAAATCACCTACAAAGAGATATCAATCATATCTATAGAGGCAGAAAAATCCCTTCCCCTTTCCTAGCTTGCAAAGGCCTCCGGCAAGGGCAGCCTCGACTAAAAAGGAGAAGAAAAGGAGGGTATCTACAGCCTATATCAGGAAATGCGCGAGGTTCACAGACTAGGTACGGCTGCCTCATAAGAATAACACAGTGTGTTTTTTCTTCTTTTGATACAATAAGAGACATTATACACAATGCCAGATAATATAATAACCAATCCATCAAAGTTCTAAGTTCACAATAATATCACACAAATTATACTTTTCTATAAAAAAGAAAAAGCCTGTTTAGCTATTCTTAATAGTAACAGTTTTCGTCTGACTTTATTCCTTGAGGCTCTCTTGGTTTCCTCTTTTATATAAAAGCTTCCTATACACATAACCCGCAGGGAAGCAGCTAATCACAAATAGAGCAACCACGCAGTTTCCCACAGCCTATTATTTACAGCTGGCAATATCCAAGTTGCCTCCTGTGACAGGAATATCCTTGCAGCCCTGAATCCTGAAACTCTTCATTTTCTTCGCTTCTTTACTAGTATTCTTCGACCACTTTGTGGGCCATAAGTCGCCTTTGTCAGCGGCCGTCGCGGACCCAAGTTTCTTGCCTCGACAGCCAATGTCGCTATGGATTGAGACGGAGCAACGAGTCCAAATGAAGCTGCAGAACTCAAAAGAACCAACGCCCTTCGAAGTGATGGCCTTGTCGAAATTATAGCAGTCGTTATCTCCGACACTGCTGTGGTAGTGGCGTTTCTTTCCGTGCTGGTCTTTTCCAGTCCAGACTGTAAAGCTCCATGCATCTGTGCCGGCGATGGCTATTGTGGTGAATGTAAGGAGCGAAGAGAGCTTCATGTTGGATTGATTGTCTGGTTGTGATTTGAAATAATTGGATGTGTTTGTGAAAGACTGTGTTGTATTGCAAATATTGCCAGGCGTGACGCGGCGATTATATACTTAGCAGTGGTCTAAGATCGACGAAGATCTACAGTCATCATCGGATGAACTTTTCAGCTCAGTCGTATCAAGGAATTTTTCATGTGCCCACTCGATGGTGATCTTGTACACTCGAGAAGTCCTTTCGTCGCGCAGAGCCCCGGAGGAGGAATTACGGCCCCTTGCACTTTACCATGCAGTGGGGCATTGAAATGGGGCGTGATCGATCTCCTTCATTTCTGAACATAAGGCGCATGATGTTCGATGAAGCTAAGCATAGGCTTGAAGCCAGGACTCGATGACTGTTTCCATCGAAAAAGGCACGATAGTAATAGTTTACCCCCCCCCCCC